AACGTCTGACGTTTTCAAAAATCATATCCAGTTGCTTGAGTAACTGCTTTTTGGCGTATCGTATTACCTGGATGTCTAACCTTCATCGACGTATAAGCAATTTTATTTTGCTGATTTTCGCTGACTGTTTGTCACCTTTGTAGGGCAATTCTGACTAACTGCTATTAAATTGGTTAGAATCTACTCCAATCGCAATGATGGAATTATTGATCAATGGTAACCAATATACCTTACATTTCTAGTGCTCACAGGATTGACACTCGCCGATGCCGGGATTAGTCATCTCACCGTTTCCTGGACAGTTGTGGGGAATCTTCCGATCTCGCGCTACAGGCTCCGCTACCAGCCGGCAGACCGGCCGGGCTCGTACCGGGACCTCTCCCCCGCACCAGCAGCAGGAGCCACCTCGGCAACAGTGCAGGGCCTCCTAGCTGACACAGAATACATCCTCACGCTGACATCTTTTGGTGCAGACGACGAGCCCAACGGAGTTGCCAGTGGGGCATTCACCACAGGTGGGTGATGTAAAAGAAGCAAGGCATTTAACGCCGTGCCAACCACGGGCTTGTGCTACAGCGTAATAAACTGAATAATGTACAATTGCTCAATGGCTGTAAGCATGCTTATGGATTAGAAGGTTAGGGGTTCAAATCCCAACTCACTAGTGCTGCCACGGCCTGTAGTTCATTTTCAAGGTGACGTAGATCTCGCCATACCAGTACTATAGATATATTCTGGTAGAGAAATTTGAGTTGGTACTCACATCAACATGTACATATACGGGCTGTTTTTATTTCTTTGTGCACATGTGGTTTTGAAAGGAATTTGCTATTGGATTCTGAAATTTAATTGCTTCATTCCCTGGCTTAGGGTTTGGTTTCTTGAACTATCCTTGCTGTAAAACAACACTGATGCATCCAAACAGCTTCCTTTGGCAGAGATAATAATACAGTACTTTACTGTTTCAGATTCGGTTATCGTGAACGTAGTGTGTGACCAGGACAGTATGAGTCTGTCCATCCCCCGTGCGGCGCTGCCGGCTGTCAATGTGGAGAACCTGCACCTGCTGGACCCTGACTGTGGAGCTACTGAGGACGAAGACGAAGATGCCTTTATATTTGAGACACACCTGCAAGAGTGTGGAACCCGGCAGGAGGTAAGACAGTCCAACTTCTTTCCCAACTGGATCCTACAAATAGTAATGCTAACTAATGCAGGTATAAAAAAGCTGAACTACATCTTTGAATTTTCGTTTCTTTGAACGGGTAAGTGGGCATGGTCCGAAAGAATTTTCTTAGAATTTTCTTAATGAATCATAGCTATCTTTTTTTGGAAGTCAACTGTTTTTTTTTTTTTTAAGATTCGGTCCTACATGCCTACAATCTTTGGATTTGCTCTTGTATTTCCTCAGACCTCAGGAGATGACAAATTCATCTTCTCCAACGAAGTCATTGTCAACCAAGTTACTCACGAGAACGGCGCTGTGCGTAACCAGCCGGTAAATCTGCCCTTCCAGTGCGAGTTCCTCCGTCAGCACGTAGTTTCCCAGGGTGGAGACATCATGTATAACATCCCCTCTCCTCGGTAAGATTCTCCGTGGTGGCTTAGATATGCATAAGACCATGTTTAACCATGGCTTCATGATACCAGATGTATCAGGCGCTTTTAACGTACTGCCGAAAGAAACAAGATTAATATATACACATATCTCTTTTGATATGTATAGCCATTATAGTGCTAGTCCAAGAATAATGCTTTTTAGCAAACAGTAATTTCTTGTGCGCAATGATCATACCATGGATAATTTGAACGATGTACACAATGATAGTCATACCATGAATATGCAGCACTCGATTGGGAAAATGTTTATAGAGTTCGTTTATTACCTCCATGAAAAATGAAGGTATTGTTTTTGGCATGTCTGTCTGTTTGTCTGTCTGCGTGCCTGTGTGTTTGTTTCCGCATATATTTGTAGTCAGCATAACTTGAGAACGCCTTGCATTGTGATGATATTTGGAATGTTAATAGGTCTTATAAACACAAAGGTCATGGTCGATTTTGGGCCTCCTGGTGGCTGACCTTGGTACTCCATTAGAACTTCCGTTTTTTTTTGTACTTTTATTCTGGTCTTATTTTTTTTTGTTCCGGAGCTGCAGGGAGATTTCTGGTGAAACCTTTCAGAGCATATAAATTCACAAAGGAACAATGTAGTTTTATGATTTTTGTATGTGGATAGCTTGGACGGAGATCTACATTATTGGATGCAAATTATGCAAATGATGACTTTATTTGCATACGTAATGAGGAAATTGTGTAATTCCAGTGTTTTAGGTCTCGGACCGGAGTTTTTTTTCGTGTTCGTAGCAAATTTGACACTCTCGGCCAAGCGGGCTGGCGCTTCCGTCAAGAACGTGGGTCGGGATTTTTCATTGTACTAGTTGAAAGGGGTGTCATGCTGCTACGTAATGGACTTGATTGATATATCCTGCTGCCAAACTATCTGGGGATTACCAAGGTCTATAATAATAAATTTTAGAGGAAAGAGGTACTTTTTTCGTCTTTTTTCAAACATGGCTGCATGGAAAAAACGAATTTTCCCAGGGAAACGGCTTACACCGCGGGGTAGCTTAGTACCTCACGTTTCTCAAAAACGAAAAAAAATAATAACTTGTCGTGATAACTTTTTCTCAATTTTCGATGCCCCGCACACACCCCCAGAGCACATCGAACACACCGTCCCGCTGATCAGGCGAAAAGGCTACGTTATCATCCGCGCGGACTAACATCAGGAAGTGTTCGCTGAACCACCAACATTATGCAGCCTATATATACTACAACTATCAGGCTTTTCAGAAAATATAAAGATATGTACACTGCTATAACAATATCAGCGAAATTACAACCAAAAGATACCTATCAAAGTCGTGTTTCCGGCAGTTTACTGCGCACTCTTTTGAACCCTGGTCAGAAATAAACTCCGACCCGGAACCTTTACATCATGGGACTAAGATGCATGCAATGTTTATAATCTATGGCAGTTGAAATATTACCAGATACCAATTATGTAAATATGGACCTAATTTGCATAATTGATCTGAAAATTGCCATAACTCTTTAATGGTAAACGATAGGAATTTCATACTAGGGGCATGTGTAAGTCAATCAAAAGTTAACATCACGATGCATTTATTATGTTTATGTGGAGGTAATTTGCATAAATAAAGAAAAAAATACATTTACATGTCAAGCCTATATTTTATGGAGGTATGAGATCTAGGAACTCTTGTTTGTTGTTGCTATGGCGTTCACGTTGCTGTGGTGGTTTGACAATTACATAGTATTACACGATGCAGGTTTACTGCTTCTTTAACCAGTTTTTGCAATCTCCTTGCAGTGTTCAAATCGTTGATGCGAGCAACAGCTTCACCTTGGAGATGCGGATGTACACTTCGGGAGACTTCAGTGCAACCTACGAGAGTTCTGACTTTCCTATTCAGGTCAGACATTTTGAAGGTCTTCTTTCTCCTTATTTGAATTTTGTGATCTTACAACGATGCAAAGGAAAGACATCTGCGGAAATATCAAAGACGACAAGCAAACGAGATACAGGCCTGACAATCTTGACCGCATGTCTTTCGAACGAATTAAGACAAAGAAACTGCTTTTGTACCTTGTAGGTCTCACCATCTGACCGTCTTCACTTCGGCCTGAGCGTGGCGTCACCACTGGACAACCTGGAGCTGTTCGCCCGTGACTGTGTCTCCACCCCCACCACCAGCCCTGACGACACTCCTAGGGTCAGCATCATCGACGATGGGTACGTCTGAACCTGTATGGTGTTTGCCTATATGACACTGTGGTTAAATGTTTGATTAGTTGGTCATTTGTAGGTAGGTAACTCTTCTTCTTGATTGGTTAGTTAGTTGGCTGGTTGTATGTCTGTCTGACTACATGAAGCTACAGGCTAGTTTGGCTAGTTGGTTGGCTGGTCGGTCGTTTAATTGAACGGTAGGTATATGTATGCATGTTTATTTGTAAGTACGTTTGCATGTATGTATTGACAGCTAGATAGATGGATACTTTTAAGTAGATGTATGCATTTATAGATACATGGGTGGCTAGATGGCTAGATCAATGGATGGATGAATGAATGGGTGGATGGATTGATGGATGGGTAGATGGAAGGATGGATGGCTCGTTTTGATTGTGTGCCTGGTTGTATATCCTAATGCTTATTTTATTATTTGTGATTAGTTCGTTGCTTTTACTTGGGAGGGGGGTTAATTAGTTGGTTGTTTGGTGGGTTTAATTGTTTACACTATGTGTAATCTTATTGTAATCGTAAATTACCAGCGGTATGACAGACTTGGGTATCAAAATAAATCATTTTTTCATCTGACTTTTCAGCTGTCAGATTGATCAAACTCTAGAGAAGGACAATGATCTTTCTAATGAAAAGGCCCTGTACCACAGCGTCGACGCCTTCACCTTTCCCAATGCTCTCGACCCCAGTCTGGTAAAGTCTTTTTGAACGATGTTGCTTCTGTGGGCACTGGTGAATAAAATGGATACTGAAGGTTAAATGCTTGATGATAGCTTAAGTGGCTCATCTCATTCATCTAAAAAACAAATTCTGTAGGATAGAGCAACATGAGTTTTGTTTGTTTGTTTCGCATAACCGGGAAACGGCCTTTAGGCGTAACACACCAGTTTTGTACATGTAAGACTGGACTGTAAGGTTTGAATCGGGAAGCTCTTTTTGATAAGTGCGGTGGGTTCTTTAACGTGCGTGGGGTGTGGCTCTCCCCAAACACGGGACCTCCATTTGACGTCCTATCCAAGGGACGTCCTTAACCGAAGCTAGGTACTCATTTCAACCTGAATGAAAAGCGCAAAAAACGCAAGCAAACTTAATGACAACAAAAGACTCACATTTGCTGGGGTCAGTTTTAACCCCACTGGACCACCCAAAACATTCTAAAATACCTCAGTCAACAATGTTTCAATCTCAGTAAAAACGTGTCAGAAGTTATAAGGCATATATTCAAACTCATAGAAGGAATTTCATTTTTGACATAAAATGTCAATATTTTTTTGGGGTCAAAGGTCAGGTTTGACCCCATACGGTGGTTTGAGGGTTAAGTTCCTTTCCCAGGGGCACAAGATCGGTGACATAGGTTGATTCGAACCCGGGACTTCTTGCTCCTGAGCCGAACACGCTACCGTCACGCCACACGACCCAGTTTGAGGTCTTACCAACAGAAATAATGAGTTGTATTACTTTGGGGCAGTGTAAAAACTAACACTGAAAAAAAAACAAGCATGTGCTGCAGAAGATATTGGCAGAGCTTTGGGTCTGGTAAGAGCTGTTCCTGCCTATTATTGTTTGTCAATGATATCCCTTAATTATGCAGGTGTACTTCCACTGCACCATGATTATCTGCTTCAAGGACGACCCTGCCTCTCGGTGCAAACAGGGCTGCATCCCACCAGCAGCACGGCGCAGGCGAGCCGTCTCGGACGGGACGGAGACCAGGGTTCGCCGGGAGAGCAGCAGGGACAAGCAGGCGGACATCACCCAAGGACCGTTCCAGGTGCAGTTCGAAGAAAAAGCAGGAACAGGTAGGTGTCGTATTACATTTCAGCCCTCGCGAAAGAGAAAAAAAAAACTTTAAAAATGTTTAACAGGGGTTTTGATATCATGCGACAAAGCACTGCCTGGGGAATATGGATCCCAAACAGACAGTGCGATATGTGGAAGTCATACTATTATATTCTGTGCCTATGAGCCCTGAACTTTTTATTACGTAGGCAATGCTTAGGCATGATGTTGATCTTGCTATCAAATTATTTAAAAATAACAGCTGCTAATGTATGTTACAACATAAATGACGTGGGGCTACAGTCAATTAAGATTTGATTTTTCTTCAATACGTTACAATCGTTTATCTTGTTCCACAGGGCCAGTTGGAGTCCCACTGGGTACCGCGGTGGGAGCGTCTGTTGGAGTTGCCGGGATCATGGTGCTTCTGATGGTGGCCGGTGTTCTGGTGAAGAAACGAGGTGGCCTCGCCTTAGGCAACAAGAAGCGTGAAGACGACATTGTCGGTATGTCACTGCAGTTTTGTTTTATTTTATTATGTTTTAAGTCACATCAGATTTTGATGTTTGGGACCAAGTTTAATCAACAGAAATTGATATTATTCTTCATCAACTGCATCGGTTATATCCTTAAAAAATAAGAATATAAATTAGATTCTCATTTTTTCTTGCAAAACATTTCTGCCTTACTTGGTATATGTGGACTCGCAAGGATGTCTTAAGACTTTTGACAACATGTCATTAAAATGCAATTGCTCATATTACTACGTATTAGACAAAGATGTCCCGACGAAGAAAAGGCTCAAACTAGCCTGTTCATTTGTAACATTGAGTCTGTATAACCTTATAATGACTGTGAATTTTGGCACTGTTTTGCTTATAACCCATTTTGTTTTCTTTACTAGGAATGAACAACTACGCATTCCAAACTTGGGGAAAGATGAGCAAGACTGGGATTGCTGACACCAAAGCCTAGCGCGTTCTCTTTCTTCTGGAACGAGTGAGAGTTAAACCTACGGAAACAATATAGAATGTTTAAGCTTGCCTCTAATCTCAACTGATTCTCTTTACCAGGCTCTGAGACTGGGCTTTTGGGGGAGATAGTACAATATCACTTTTCTTCTCTTTCTGGCATACAAATTCTATCTATTCCAGGTTAGATTTTATTCCAAGAGGTCAAATATTCACAGGCCTCGTAATAATATTGATGATTTCTTCATTTTAGTGACCTCAAGCATCAAACCACGCATCAGGCCCACAGTAGTGAAAGCTCCCAGTCTATACTTGGACAGGGATCTTTATCACCACACCGAAACATTAGACACTCGTTGCAGTCAAGTCTTAGCACATAAACTTATAGATATTGTAGGAAACCACGGTAACAACAATAAAAGCTCCCCATCATTAAGAGAGTTTATAGAACTCTATTATGATAACAACAATATCAAAGACTCTGCAGCTAAATTTACAGTATAGGCTTTCTATTCAAACTGAGAAAGTGTAGTGAACTGCATTCTCACAAAAGCAATTATAGTAAACGCTCTGAATTTAAAAGTTGGCAGTGTATACGCTCAAATATCATCCTGCCAATGATAGTACAGTATCTAAACTTGAACAGAGCAGTAAAATACCAATTGTAGTAAAGACTCCTCATCCATACTTAGAAAGTGTAGTAAACTTTATTGCCAAAACGACAATAGTATAGGCGCTCTGATGATTCGTAGTCGTGGCATAAAAAAAAAACTATAAACGTTTGTTAACTGTTAAAATGCTGAGGCAGGGCTTACATGGGAGTCTCGGTGTCCTTATTATGGTCTCATATACTTCGGTGCATAAGAAGATTTATGTTTACTGTAGTGGCCTATGCTCCGCACGGCGCCAAGGGCCCAGGTAAGGTAAGGTAAGTAACTGCGATTTTTACCTCAATGAAAACTGGAGGTATTGTTTTTGGCGTGTCTGTGTGTGTGTCTGTGTGTGTATGTGTGTTTCCGCAACTTTGTAGTCGGCATAACTTCATAACGCCTTTATGGATTGTGATGATATTTGGTATGCTGATAACTTGATAAGTCTTAGGAAGACAAAAGTCAAGGTCAAATATGGGCCTCCTGGTGGATGACCTTGGTACTGCAACAGAACTTCCGGTTTTTGTATCTTTTGTCCTGAACATGCTATGGTCTTGACTTTTTGGTGACATATAGCTTTTCCTGTCAGGAATAAGTGGTGTGGGTTTGCTCCCCCTAGCAGCTTGTTCTGGAACTACAGGGGACTTTCTGGCGAAATCTTTAAAAGCCAATAAGTCCAGATAGGAACAACGGATTTTCATCATATTTGGTGTGTAGGTAGCTGAGAGAGAGAGAGAGAGAGAGAGAGAGAGACAGAGAGTTGTACATTATATAATGCAAATTATGCAAAGGAGGACTTAATTTGCATAATAAAGGAGGAAATTCTATAATTACAGTGTTTTATATAATAATTCTTTTATACATGTAATCTATCTAATCTGTGGCAGGAGGAACATCAACAGATACTAATTATGCTAATGATGACCTAATTTGCATAATTCATGTGAACATTCTGTGACTCCTTATTGGTGAATGATGGGAATTTTATACCTTGTGACATGTGTAAGCTACTTAACGGTTAACACCACAATACATATATTATGTCAACGTAGATGTCATTTGCATAATTTAGCAAGCCCATATTTCTTGGAGGTATGAGATCTGGGAATTCTTGAATTGTAGTGAACGTTATAATCATACACCTATAGTATCGTTATATCATCTACTTTTTAGACATGGTGCTGTGCGCTTTTTGATCATAAAGGTATAGGCACCCCATCTAAACTTGCACTAAACCTTATCATCATATTCATAAAAAGATAGACTCTCTGAAGAGGCTTAGTGCTGGAAGTACTTAGCTAAAAGTAATATTTGCTGTTTCAATGTTAAACGTACTAATTTTGACGTAAGGAGCTTTTATTTGCGTACTGCTAATCTAGACGATATTTACTGCGTTTAAGTAGTCATTTTTAATTACCAAGGCTAGGTACCATCCCTTCCGTCTAAGCTCATATAAAAATCGTTTTTACTAAATTGGAATATTTCGAATCTTCTCCTATTTACTAAATGAATTCTTTCTCTTTAGCTTATTATTTACTGCTAAAATAGCACCGCGGTGAAAAAAGGGAAATGTGACAATGACTCAATATATAGAGCACAGGATTCAATGTGGCGTAGTTCACATATCAATTTATATCAGCCTTAGGAATGAAACAATATCTGTAAAACTGTATTATTTCTATGCTTAATTTTGTATTGTATTTTGTATTTCGTACGTGTTTTAAATGCGGGGGGGGGGATCTGAGGAATCATTGTTTGTAAACTGTTTCTATACACCAAATCTGAAAACATGCAAGGGATAACTTAACTGGAAACACGTAAAACACTTATTTTTGTTAACAGGTGAACTGCTGTCTCTTATTACTGTGTTGTATACGTAAGATATAGATTTGCTAGATGTACTGTATGTCTTGTGATGAGACAAGGAAACATCCGGAGTTCCGTGCATACGGAATAAAGCGGAGTCATGGAGTCACATATCTGTTGTCTGTGTCTTTTTGTGTGTGTTTTTGGTCGAACATTCGGTGACTGTAACATCATCCTTCATCGTCTATTGACTATGTATAATTATGTTACTGTTTCCAAAAATTCTATTCTAATCTTACAGCATATACAGGATGCAGTGAACGCAAATTCTAATAATTTTAAGGGCTCTAATTATTCTAAGACCTACCCACTTACCAAAGTTTCATGAAAATCCTAGCTTCTTGAGTTATCGTGCTGAGCTTTTAGGGAGTGTGGCATTTGGAATTCCTGGGTATTTTTATACGCAACCAATACCCATTATGTATTGTTACTTTCGTCAGAGAAATATCGATATGTGGCGCTGTATTGGGGAGGATGCGGTCCCAAACGTGACGAATTGTTCATGACAGTTAGTAAATTTTCTCGTTTGGGAACGAATACACGCTATCATGTTTGGGACCGCAGCCTTTCCACTGCAGCGCCGCCTAGCATGCGAGCCGGGAAACGCAATATACACGAACACGTCGGAAACCTGTATTTCTGTATGTTTATGCAAATATTTACCGATTACTTCATCTGTTAGTAATGTAACCAATGTGGCATTCATGATCAGCTTTGGTCCAGGTTTGTTCCCGTATGTACCCGGGCCTGCAATTTTATCCTTAAAGGTGATTTAGGCCCTGTTGAGATGAAAGGGATAGGTGAATCGCATATCTTACATCTGGTCTACGTGCCAAACGTTTTTTCGGGCACGACTTGGCTAAACTACAATCATTGCTGTGATAAAAAAAGACGCAAGGTGGCGTCGTATCAATGTTAGAGGTCAACGACCTGCTTGCTGGTCCCCCCCCCCCCAGCTTACCTAGGCCGACTGCCGACGTGGCAGACGTGGTCCCGCCAGACGCGGTGAAGCTTCTCCTAGAATGGGCACATTACTCAGTCATAACCGCTCTTTAAGTTGCTGCCGCGTACTTTTTGCTATTGCAAATACAGTCAAACCTGTCCACCTAATAGACCGAAAAAAGTGGTCACCTTGGACAGGTGTTGTTCTTGAAGAGGGTCACCTCATAACATGACTGGAAACATAACTGGTTAAGTCAAGATGTTTTAATGCCAAATGCTGATTTTTGGTAATGCTTGTGGGGAGAGTGGCACGCAGAGTAATTTTCCTCGAACAAAAGCATCCAGCAGTCGAGGCAAAATGGCTGGTTCCTCCATGATTTTTCATCAGTTGTCATCAATCAATAATCAACATGATTGAAAATGATGTGGTCACCATGGGCAGGTATCGGGCCTTGAGCGGACCCAACTCAGAGCGGTTGCGGTCGTGTTGGCCAGGCGGTCACCTTGGACAGGTTGCTTAATGCTTGCATTAATGAAGAAAATTTTAGGGACCGAGAAAAAGCTGTCACCATGGCCAAGTGGCCAGCTTGACGAGGTGGTTACATTGGCAGGTTTGACTGTAAAAAAAGAAATGTCACCCCTTACACCATGATCGAAACAATATGTAAAGAAAACCGTTGAAGTCACATGCATTTCGCGCTTTCAGAATAAAGTCGGAATAGGTTTAAGCCGGTTCGAAACTACCTCCCGAGGTGGTTTGGGATTGAGGCGCTTTCAATGCGATTTTGGGCGTTCAGATGGGGCCACTTGAACCCTGCTTCGGTGGCATACACATCGAATGCGGTTTCACCGCTTTCGTCTGAACAGGGCTTAAGTTACGGTTGAGCCCGGAATGCAGCGTAGTTTGAGGCATGCGCGAGTTTAATAAAAATTCTTTCCCCCAAATTACAAGATATCACGTGCATCATTAGTTAGTAGTTCTTTACAGTTTTAAAGAATGGTTACCATTATTTCGTAGTTTATGTTCTGTTCTGTTTTCTATTAGCGCATTTGCTGTCTTAGAACAATTACGTAGTTTTGAATGTAATTGATTGGCTCAAAGTGATGCTAAAGACAAGTGAATTGCATCAGATGACACTGCTCCTTCATAGAAACGTGCGGTATTTTCGTCCGTTCTTAAGTTATGCCGATAATATTTGTGCATGAACGATCGCCCCGTCCGCTACCCCCGCTTCTGGCAAGGATATCCTGTGGAAGTTTCCCTACTTGCGATAACCTCTCGACGGAATCGTTTCTGGCTAACATACATGCAGCAGTTGTTTCGTTCCCAGCCATGCTCTGTAAATATCAGCGTGCCGGGCGTTGATGCACATTAGCTTCGGTTTCTCAACCTGACAAATCCACCCTCTTGAAGTTCTAAAACGACTTTGACAAAGCGACGAAAAGGTGAGTGCAAGAGCTCGAGATGGTAGACGATTTTCCTATTGAAATACATCTTTCAGTTTGACCATTACAGCCGCAGCCATGATGATATTTTTTGGGTTAAATTTAAATATAAGATGTTAAACGAAATGTTCAGGAATTAGAAGTAGCTTAGCACCTATAGGATATCATTTACCTCATTTGTCATCACGTGTACAGAACAAACGGTGAACGCAAATCATTAATTTTAAAGTAGATCAATTTCGGTGGCAAGACAGTATCCATTAGCCACAGGCGTTTTGTACGGCCACCGGTGACTAATAGACACTCCTCTGGCCAACGGACACTGCCTTGCAATCATATGATCTGCTTGGAGATTAGCAAATCAAACCAATTACAAGAATATGCAGTTTCAGGTTTTCTTCAACCGACCAGAACGTAAAAGAAATAAAGAATAACAAAAGTAAAACCACTATTTTTCGTCTTTTTTCCCTCCCAGAAATGACTAACAAGTTGTTCCTGACTGCCGTGATGTTCATCGCCTGGTACTCTCTGGTAGATGGTCGAGTGACGGATACGGGTCCACTGCTCTCCGACATGGAAGTGTAGGATTGAATTGTATTCCTTGGGTTTTCGTGAGAACACGCTATCTAGTACCATGGAGTGACCCATGAAATGGTTAATCTTCCATTCATGAAGTACATTCAGTTTTAATAAGATACTTTGAACTACTATATCAAAAACGTGTCTCTCTTGTGAAAGATTTGAAATTAAAAAAAAAAGTAAAAGAAACATTGCCGTTTGCTCTGATCTGATGAATGTAACCTTGTTATTTGTGTAGGATGTATGAGGGTGTGTCTAGGGAATACTGCCAGTTTGAGGACGCACAAATCTTTAGAGACAGCAGCTGGACAACCTTTGACTGCAGGAGATGTACCTGCAACTCCAATGGACTGAGCTGCTGGATGTAAGTCCAGCATTTGTTTTTGCATTTTGTCTACCTTAATCGTTTTTCAGTTAACCGTATGTTCCCCTGGAAACACGCTTCAGTACTCTTATTTATATCCTTTGTCATCAAATGAAGACTGGTTAAAAAAACATGTAGAACTGTATGATATTCCTAAAATGACTAATATTTTAACGGTTTAACCGTTGTGCTTCTTGAAATATATACCAAATCAGTGGGATAAAAATTATGACGTTGATTTTATTCAGGAATTAGTCGTACTTTTTTCGTTACCTTTCGACCAAAGTCATAATGCAATGCTGTGTATAAAATAACCCTCGGAGACTAACTTATCAATTAAGGCTGCATGCTTCCGAGGGGAGCGTATCGCTCTAGGCAGAAGGCTCTCCAGGTAGTTCTGTACTCTGGTTGCATCCGAATTGCAAGAAGTGTTGAGGTCCAGAAGGTAGTGCGTACAGCATAGGTCTTATTAACACTCTAGAAATGTCCACACGACTTATTCCCCTGCTTTTCTATCAACTTCTAGCCCAGAATCAGAAGTGCCCGATGGCTGCATGAGGATTTACGACTTTGACTGCTATGAGCGCATCGTGCAGAGCGACAACCTCGACCTCGACTGCTCCACTAACGATGTCATTACTGGTAAATAAGCATAAACAATGCAGCCAACAACCGTCATGAGATACGGTCGAACATGAAAATAAAACATGAAAAATGAGTCATTTTGTCTGGTAGTTCTTATGATGTCAATCACATGGCGTAGCATTCTTCTATCACATAGTGGTTTTAGATTAGTTGGTAATGTTATGCTTGTAACGAAGTAATGAAGTAGATTTTCACAAGCCAAGTAATGTTAACCTTATGATTGACGAATTATAAATTTTTCATTGTCTCATTCTTTATGCAAGTTCTATTCAAACTCTTTTTTGTTAATAATATATTGTTATACCGTACCTATAACATACATTCTTTAGGAAGACAAAACCCTACTGTTAATATGAAAGTTAATGTCCAAGTTTATTACAAGTAACAGAAGGACAAACAATGAAGGCCAATACCCGTACAATATATGACTAATCTAGTTCAAAAGTTTGCTCTAAATTTTAAGTGTTCTTTTCTGAATCAGACATATTCACAAAACAAAAAACGGTAACAAGGACTGTGCGGCGCTGCACTCAAGTTTGAAACTTATTTTAACAGCAGCACACAACAAAATACAATTAACAGATACTCATACTTGACATGACAGTGGGCCGAACTCCCACCTCCCAATACTAATGCTAGCCAGTTTATGAAAACAAATATTGAGCAGGAGTGACATCTATTATAGATTGACGAAAAAAACATTTAACCGTTGGTAACGAAACGGTGAAAGACGAAGGTCCCACTATTCTGTAATAAGTGGGTTTTGTGGTGTTATTTTTTTACTGTTTACAGTAATTATAGTATGGCGTGAGCACTTTGAAATAAAATGTATTTCTTTTAACATCGTATTTGACGTGCAGCATTTAAATTTAGAGACCATGAAAATTTACAGACCATGACCTGGCGGATTGGGGTTGCGTCATTGGAAATCGAGCAAGGCACATGTCTTGTTCCCAGCAGATTATTTATAAAAGTCTCCTCCAAACCATTTGTACTATCACTTCAAGAGTCAATTGTCTTTTAAGTGTTTCAAAACAAAGATAGCTTTTTTACCGTTTTTTTAGTTAAAGGGGTACTAATTCTAATTTTGGTAATTACGGAGAAGCAATCAAAATTATCTAGTTCTATGTGTTTTTCGAGTATATATCGTTTTGCGTGTCTTGTGAACCCTCAGCTTACCGGTACCAATAATCAAATTCGGACCAAAAGTTTGGATATGCATGTAGTAAATTATGGACCTAATCATTATGATAGTACGCATAAATTTGGTGTCAGTGGTGTTTACTGGAGTAGAACAGATATAAGCATTTACTACAGTCTACTATTTCCTTTCGGTTGCAAAAGTTCTTTAATAGGACTAAAAGAGAGCTTCAACTTTCAGAAGCTTCAAGTTCAACTTTCTATCAGATTCCATTTCAAATGCAGCAGTAATGTTAAAAAAATTCATGTTAACTTAAATTAAAGTCAACAGTCACCTACCCTCTCAGTGTTGCCTCTCAGCTCTGTTTGCCGAAGGAAAGCGCATATTTATCATACCAAGGCTAACTGTGGATAGACGCTTTTTATGAAACAACGAAACTGTTTTAAATTTAGCCCAGCACATCCTGAGGATGTTTATAACTTGGTCCGGACATGGATATGAAAATTTACAGACCATGACCTGGCGGATTGGGGTTGCGTCATTGGAAATCAAACAAGGCACATGTCTTGTTCCCAGCAGATTATTTATAAAAGTCTCCTCCAAACCATTTGTACTATCACTTCAAGAGTCAATCGTATTTCTTTACAGACACTTTTGAAAGTAAGGTTGGAGACAAGAGATCAAGGTAGGTAAGTAATAAATGTATATTTAGACCCATAGTGGTTCGAAAGCATAAGCAAATGATTTTCAAATTAGAATACGTAGTAGTATAAAGTACTTTCAAAAGTGGAGTACAAAATGGCATTGCCATTGGCGCCATAATAGACTGCGCAACGATAAACCCGTTTCTGATGTGTCTCATCACGCTTGCTGTTTTCAAAATGTGCTGTTCTTTTTCATCCCACAGCGCGCCATGCCTGTGTATATGGTCATCTTAGCGGCCATATGTGCTGTCTGGCTGCAAGGGGCAGACGGGGGCTCCTATCATTATTCTGTCTACTGGGATACAGTCCGGTAACCCAAACTATTTGTCTTGATATTTTTTGAAGGCTAGACATGCAAAAATGAATAATATTTTCAAAGCTGTTGCTCAATTTAAAGTCAAATGAACACTTCTATGCACTTATGAGGTGACACAGTAGATATATGACTACTAGTATGCCGAAAAAATGGCGGTGAATGCTTATTTTAAAAGCTTGAGGATTGTATTCGGAAGGAAAGCATGTGTTTGGGAGGGAGATTTATAGTTTTGCAGCTTATAGAAAGAAACTGTTGCTGTAGAGGGACTTGAAACAGGAATTTGAACGGCGTGACGATGTGAACTCCGGGAAAACCTCGTGACACGCTGAGATAAGACTAAACGATATCACTAGACAAAGGTTTGTGGATCTATGGACGTTTCAGACGCCGTCCAGTATTCCTAAGTTTAAAGATAATAATAATGGTTTATTCAATTATTAACATATATACAATACATACGTACAGTCAAACCTGGCAGCCAGAGGCTGAATTGCATGGGAGCTGTTTCCATGAGTTTCGTTAAAACAATATCTCAACCATTATCTCAACCGTATTTAAAAACATTTACGAACTGGATAAAATTGACGGAGCATAAAAACATTCTTAAGCAGATTAAAGTGAAAAGGTCAAATTATTTTACAGGTTCAGCAATCGTACCATATGTTATTGCACTGTCGCGATATCTTACAGTTCTACAGTAAATACTGTTCAGTTTGTGGGATGATCTAGTTTTCCTGCCACTTATTTCCTCTCGTGAAGGCGGTAAGAGCTGTCTGTACTGTTCAGATTGTTTTAGGGACCTAGTGAATTTAACGGTCAGTTCTTCGCGGCGTCCTTTGAGGGTTGGGAGGGCAAGTTGTTCACACGCTTTTGAGTAAGAAATGAAGTCTTTCCCCAGGATGATTCTCAGCGCCCGGCGTTGCACTTTCTCGAGTTTGTTGCTGAGCAGAAAGTCCGGAGTGCCACACACAATTCTGTGATATAATATTAAATATTTTTCTAAAACACGGAACGATCGTTATAACTACATTTCTAGTTATTTATGAACCATTTAAAAAGCCATTCTAATTTTACATTGCTCCTAGAATTATGTATTTTATACTCTTGTTAAGTAAAGATAAAGTTGTGCTCTGTGCCTGAAGGTTTGGCAACGCCGCATGGACGAGGGGTCTTTATTTGAGCGAGACATTCATATTTCTGAAACGCCTTTTGTTATTTGCGTAAAGAAGATCACCGGCACTGATACGATTCGTGTAAATGATGCATATGCATTTGCAACCCTTTATATTACCCCAGTTGTAGCTCGTGGAACTCTTAGATATTGAACACAAATTATGTAATTCAAATCCCCGCCAAGCTGTGTTGGAGCTGAGCTTAAACTTTGCAACTGTATATTGAGTGAGCTGTATTCACTTGAGAATCTCATGCCAGGTCATTTTTACATCAGCTAAATAGTGTGCATCAGGCATGACCAAAACATTTTTAATTTCTATATTTGCAGCTATAACGGCACTGCTGGCAACTACCGAGATGTTATCAGGACATACTGTAAGATGCCGAGCAACCCGAGGGTCACTATGATGCCACGGCATGGAAGCATCTTGAAGGATATGTACTGTCGCAGTCATGAATGCCAAAGGCATGGCTTGACGCAGACCTGGTACGTTTGTACGTAGGTGAATAGATGGGATGGCAGTGCACATACATTTGTGGAGCCAATGCAATTTTAAAGTAGCATTGGTTTCGTATGTGAACGCTATACCCCCTCCGTCGTACTTCAAGGGAGAGTAGGGGGTAGACCTGAGTGCGTCTCGTGATAGCTTTAAGGATGGAAAGCCTGCTAGTTGTAGAGATAAAATGTCGCATGTTGGTTTTGTTCTAATCTGCTGCCTAAATTCTCATTGATATCGGCCTCATTTCGTCATTTTGTTCAAAATTCTAAATACCTATCTAACTCTCTCTCTCTCCTTTCTCACTCTCTACCTACAAGTATAAAAAAAAAAATTAATGTATCTGTTTTTTATGTGACCTGCATTGCGTAACAAATCAATTGTACAGCCGAGTGTATGTCATTTTAAACTCATATTATTAGTGAAAGATTGCTGCCAAGTATGATATATTAATAACTAATTCAACTCCATCTAATTTCTAGGGATGATCCACCAATTTACCAACCCAGCAACCTCTACTGCGAATGGGGGCATGACGCCGACTGTGTCCCCGAAAATGTGTGCATGTGGTGGCCATGGCGCAAATAGGCCCCTACCTGAGGCGCCATGCACAGCCTTGTGGTGGTCTCGACTGTGTGGACTCATATTAAAATTGGCAAACTGACATTACCTTGTCTTTTCTTTCTATTTACGCGGCTATTTAAAAGTGTTCGATTTTAGGACATGCGATTGGCCAGTTACTGTTTGTTAAACGCTATCAACTTTCATTACCACATCGCTGTAGACCAATGAGCTTCATGTGTGAACGTTTTGCAGTTCTGTGTAAATTGCATAACTCAAGCAAACCGCCACTGCAAAGAATGGTTCTAAAAGTGCCATACGAACGTAATATTTTTTTATAACTTTTTAATAGTTGTTCTTGCTTCAAGGAGACACCAGAATTCTAAAAAAGTAGAATTTTTAATTAATTTTAATTAATTTAATAGAATTTTTAATTAATGAATTAAAAGTAAATATGTCCCCTCAAATATCTCTAAAATTCCCCTTGTCTACTACAACGATGTCTCAAACAGGTATGTGACCTTTGAGAATATTCATTTGGTGTTAGGAAATGGCACTGTGCCATTTGTTGACTTTTATACGTAATCCGCGGAAGGGGCGGTCACCTCTGAAATTTGCCTATTGATAACCTTAAGGCCAAAGAAAATAAACAGCAGGGGGGCTTTCCAAATTGTTGACTTACGTTATAAATGAGTAACGTAGCTGAAAATGAAACCACCGTAGATTTTCTTTACAAAACAAGGAATTACAAGGAATACATATTTCATCAAGCAAAACGCCCCTCCAATCAAAGAAAGAAAGAGGGTGAGAGAGGGAGAGATAGAGAGAAACGAAAGAAAGTATTCAGTTTCAATCTGTAAAGCCTCATACATTTACTTACCGCTAAGACATCAGCCGTACCCAACATGTAACAGAACTACTCAAGATACTTTTGTATTATAGGACACCCAGTAGCCAAATGCACCGCCTTCAACAATATTAGAACAGCCCTAACATACGAGATAACATAGTTACGTGAATAATTTTATCATGTCGGTAAGTCACTATATAAAGAGACTATTATTTTTTTTTAAATTCTATTCTTACACGACCAAGTGTTTTAACTTTTATTCAGCCGACGTTTCGGTGACCGCCTCTCACCTTCCTGTGGGCAATTCGGACTGGTTCACATTGCACTGCAGCACAGGTGTCGCTGCTATAGATACGTTCCCAAACGCAAAGAATTTACATAATCTACACGGTCACAAGGAACGGTATCTACAATGCTGTACTAAACGTACGGGAGTGTGATATATACATAATTGTCAAGTAATTTAGTAACAAAAAAGTTACACCTTACATGCACACACACATACAGGCACACACACAAACACGCACACACATACACACACACAAACACGTACAAACACACACACACACACACACACACACACACACACACACACACGCAGACATACACACAAATACAGACACGTGCACACACACAAAACGCATCTTTAAAACTGAAAAAAGAACAAGCACTCGCCACTTAATTAAGAATAAGATTGCATAATTTACATTGTCCTTAATAACTTTTCATAGTAGCATGCTTGTGCATTATGTGGTTTTCCATTTTATTTACACATCGGTATGTTAAAAATCTGCTTCCAAAACGTATGTCATTTTTTAAAATTGTTTTTCACGATAAACGAAGTAATAAATGCAATTCCTCGTTTTGAAACGCCGTAAGGTATATTGGTCAATAAGTCGTACGATCGCAAACTGTGTTTCTTGTATGTATATTGTATAACATAAATCTGTGTTATTACTATTGGGGAAAAGAAGCACGTCGGCAGAACGTACAGAACCTGCGCAAAACCCGTAATATATTGTGCATAGCACTTCCGTAGAATGTCCCATATAAGGTTGTATTCGCGCATATAAGGTTAACATTCCGTATGTAGTTTCCAAATGTTATGTCGGAAAAAATATCGTCTGCAACAAGCAAAATTCTACGTTGCAACGTTGACAAAAAATCCAACGAAAACCGTGAAAAATCAGGATTCTGCGCAGGCGCAGTACGTTCTGCCGACGTGCTGGGAAAAGAATGCCTTAGCCCCTTACCAGTGGCTGTTTCTATCAAAACCTAACATAAATCCTGTGACCTCGCAACAACTAATTATATAACCATGTGTTGTCTGATCTGTTTAGGTGAGATGCTCGCATTTAACAACACCCGCACCCTTCACGGCCGCATCGCCTTCAGCCAGACCGGCGGCTCCCGCCATCTACAGGGCGGCTACCTGGACTGGGACGAGATCTACTCGCGCATGCGTGTTCTCAAGACGGACCTGGGGATCCAAGACTAGACACCTTAATTCCTGAAGCCGATTCTACGGTGGCAAGGCAGTTGGCTAGAGAAGCGTACATTGTTTTTCGCTGAAATACCATAACACGCAGCCTGTGACCCTAAGTTCTAATCACTTTAACCCTAAACAGTACACCTGGGGTCCGCGCGGACCCCAGCACTATATATTCTGTAATATCTTTTTTGTTTCTGAAGATTTTTTTCTGAAATTTTAGGTAATTGTCACCCACAAAGTTGTCTCTCAATACAGTGCAGAAAACTCCGTTTCTACCATTTTTTTTAAAAAATATATCTGATTTTCTTTTGGGGTCCGCGCGGACCCCAGCCGGCTTTCGATCATAATAGATACACTGGTGTTCTTATACATTACCTTATTTCCGTTTTTATATGTTTTTATGCACTCATCGTATGTCTACCAAGTTTTCAGAGAATGGTGTAGTAATAGAATTAAATTTTAATAACTTTGGTGTAATTATGACGTCATATGACGTCAGAGCTAATAATATGGTCCGCCATATTGGATTTTGACCAATGACGTCATCAAATTAGCATATTCTATGCATATTAAATGATTTAACTGATGTTTTATTATGTAAGATGTTATTAATGTTGGAAAAGAAGTGTAATTTAATATAAAACTAAAAAAAATTATGTTTAAACCAAAATTACTTCTATTTTAAAAAAAAGAAACCCGTTGCCATGGCAACACAAAAAAACATCAACTTACTAGTATTAAACTAATATGAACTTTTTTCCAGAGACATTTTAGGAGAGGTCTCCAAATTTGATACTTCTAGCGCAAGCCGTTTAGCCGCTATCTGAGATCAAAGTTGTGCCTCAAAAGCCCCTTCAGTCTGAAATGAGATTAAAAATCGGGTATTTCTTCTTGTCTTCTTTTCTTCACCAAAAAATAGAAAAAGGTCAAAACGTATGATTTTTGTATGTAATGTGGACACAGAGGTTCCCACATCAGTTTGCAAAACAATTGAGCTGGTTGCATGTTGATAATTTCTAAAATTAGCAAAAAACTGTTCTGGGGTCCGCGCGGACCCCAGGTGTACAGATTAATCAGTCCGGGAAGGTGTACTGTTGAGGGTTAAGGGCTCTAATCATTCTAAGACCTACCCACATACCTACGTTTCATGACAATCCTAGCTTCTTGAGTTATCGTGCTGAACCACGTATATACCTGTGCTAACATTCCTGTACAAGTCCTAGAATTCCTGGAAACTGCACATGATACTATATCATTAGGCTCGCTCTTGAGGCGTTACCAATAACGATGTGTTGCTGTGCTATGTACAGGGTAGTCGCCAAGGGGCCTAAATCCTCTACTGTGTGGTGATGGGGTATCCATAATGCTTGGCTAACGGTACCTCAACTTTAAACTGCTTAGTTACATGTATTGGTGCGTCTACCGGATAGCATGGCACTGGGCGTCCCATTAAGTACCGTCTTGGGAAGAAACCTCCCAATAAATAATAAGAAAAGTTTGAATCTTTACTTCTGGATAAAATAAGAAAATAATGTCAGACGTTTCAGACGCCGTCCGGCATCTTTCATCAGTGAAATATTCAAAATTGCGGTAGAACTCGGAACGGCACCGTTAATTCTAAAAGTATTTATGTTCTAAATAAACAAATAATAAGTTAGCAACAAGCGTTCTATAGATTCTATATACAATACACATGGTAAAGTATTAACTAATGTAATGATAAAGATAAGTGAGTCCCTAGATATGCTGTAAAGTAGAATCCCATGTACTTGAAAGTTCAACTCTAAGTCCTCCCTTCCTGTTGAGTGATGGTTTATAAAGTCTTTCATAAATCGCCTCCTTGACTCCACGCTCAAACCAGCGTGCCTCCCGGTCCAAGATGTCCGTTGATTCAAGATGAAAAGAATGTCCTTTATGTTTGTCCAGATGGTGCCATATGGCCGAAGAAAATCCACTGTTACTGGCCCTGCAGTGTTGCTTATATCTTTCCTTGAGCGGCTGACTGGTCTCCCCGATGTACGTTTCTTTGCAATGATGATCTTCACATTTTAGTCTGTAAATGACATCCGATTTCACACTAGTTTTAAGTTTGTCCTTTGGATGAAACAACATCTGTCTGAGAGTGCGACATGGTTTGAAGTTGGTGGCGATGTTGTAATTGTGTAAGATACGTCTTATCTTCTCCGAAACTCCTTGGATGTATGGGATGGAAATGTTGACTGTTTTAGTCCTGTCTAACTGTGAGTTTCTTGACGTCTTCTTAGATGAGTCGGAAGGCTTAAGTGCTTTGTTAAAAGTCCGAGTTCTACCGCAATTTTGAATATTTCACTGATGAAAGATGCCGGACGGCGTCTGAAACGTCTGACATTATTTTCTTATTTTATCCAGAAGTAAAGATTCAAACTTTTCTTATTAGTATTATCCTGGATGATTAATCTTCACAAACGTATCAAGGATCAATACGGCAAGTTTTGCCTGGACTCAGTCAGGAAATTGGAAGATACAAGCAAGAAGATCGCTGATTATCGGAACCACCAACGCTTCAGCCTACGTTGTCTCAAGGCAGGAATCACACCGGTTAGTCTACGTTTAAGAACTTCGATCCATGGTTTTAGAGCTGGCAAGATCATCGCTAGTACAGAAAGGAAGTTACTTAATGAGCGCATACGTCAAATCAACTACAAACTAGATGG